ACGTTAAAAAAATAATGGAACTAAAATCAAACAAGAAATGACGGTAACACTATTGCTAAAAAAAATATATATACATATATATATATATAAAAAACTCCACTCCAATTAATTAAAATAACCACAAGGGTTAACTTTAGCGGGGTTGATAATTGAGTTACGCCAACCATTCTCCCCAACTCGCGAAGTTAACACCTCGTTAAGTAATGACCAGAGGGATGGGGGGGGGGCATACCAAAAAAAAACAGGAAATTATTTAGTCTGGCGTCAAAGCAGGAGAGAGAGAGAGAGAGAGAGAGAGAGAGAGAGAGAGAGAGAGAGAGAGAGAGAGAGAGAGAGAGAGAGAGAGAGAGAGAGAGAGAGAGAACGTCTCGCACTGTATTTGATAATTTATGTGACGATGCTGTCAAAAGAAAACGTGTTTGCTCTCTAAGAAGTGATATTAAATAGACGAATCATTCATTTCCATTTTGTTTATATATATATATATATATATATATATATATATATATATATATATATATATATATATATATATATATATATATATATATATATATACGCAGTCTTTCATATAGACATAATGCGTTTCGTTGACCTTGTCAGCATATTCAGAGGCAGAGTGTAAATGGATACAAATCATTAATTGGCAAAGATTAAGCTTCCCAAGATCAAGATCAATCACGGGCATGAATGTTTGAAGTGGAGGCTGTTTGGAGCCTTGACCACTGTAGATCTGTGGATGAATAGTGGTCGATAAAAATGTTAGAGCAGGAGAATACATAACCTGGGCTGAGGTGAAGCAGCTCAGTGTGTGGGGTCAATAAGCCCTCTGCAGCTTACCAATCTCCTGTGTTTCAGTGAGGCCTGGGGCAGTGTGATGGATGTTTGGTCGTGTTCTGGAAGATGGCAGAGTGAAAGCTGGTGTTAGCGGGTGTTGGAGGTTGGTGTGTGTGTGGTGCCTCGTTAGTGTCTGATCTTTGGTTGTCTTTGTAGCTGTCGATTGTCTTTATTGGTATATTTATTGGTGTCTGGGGTATCTCTGATATAATGACAAGGGCATTATAGTGTCATTATAATGCCCTATTAACATTATCATGTTAATGGGGCATTATAATGTCAAACCCTCTCTCTCTCTCTCTCTCTCTCTCTCTCTCTCTCTCTCTCTCTCTCTCTCTCTCTCTCTCTCTCTCTCTCTCTCTCTCTCTCTCTCTCTCTCTCTCTGTGCTTTTCACCTCACTTCCGACCAAAGAGGAATAATTCAATAAACTCCACATCATCAACTCCTCTTCCCTCACATTATTGCCTCCTCCTGTCCCTCTAATATATATATAGATATATATATATATATATATATATATATATATATATATATATATATATATATATATAATTACCTCTAACAGCTTTGATTAAGTAATGTCCTTTCCATGCTCTCTGTTGATAAATCCTCGGAATTGTTTGATATGTAAATTTCAGTTATCCTGAAACGGTAGTCTTCGTTTAAGTGCATATTAGCTATGCAAAGGTTTCTTTTGCATTTTTCGAAGACTGGTTAAAGGATTTCTGACTCACCTTTCCTTTAATCAATCAAGCTGATGGCCGAACTGTCTTAAGGCTTTATGCCAACATTATCTAGTTCCAGTTATTTTCTGTTGAACACGGCTCGCCAACGAATTGGCGAGCCGTCAATTAGTAGTTGGCAGCCGTCAGTAGTAGTTGAAGCGCCAACTGGCACTTCAACTACTACTCAGTATCAGTATCGATACTGAGTAGTATCGATAGTCCTGAAATACCACTTGAACTACTAGTCACTTCAGCCTGTAACAACACACCCACACTGGTACACTACTAGCTACACCTCCTCCACTACCACAATCAAATCTACCACAACCAAATCTACCACATCCACATCTACCACATCCACATCTACCACATCCACTCCAGCTATCACAACCACAGAATTCGAACATGAGAAAACAGCTAGGGCCAGATTCACGAAGCAGTTACACAAGTACTTACGAACCTGTACATCTTTCCTCAATCTTTGACGGCTTTGGTTACATTTATTAAACAGTTTACAAGCGTGAAAACTTCCCAATCAACTGTTGTTATCGTTATAAACAGCCTCCTGGTACTTCAGAGCTCATTAACTGTTTAATAATTGTAAACAAAGCCGCCAGAGATTGAGAAAAGACGCACAGGTTCGTAAGTGCTTGCGTAACTGCTTCGTGAATCTGGCTCTTCAAGATTACAACGATACAGGTACAGTAGCGCTAGCAGGCGGGACACAGAGACCTAGACGGCACTCCCCCCGTAGTCACCGGTAGCCAAATACTGGTAGTTGAGCCCCGGTAGGTACCATCAATGGGAGAGGACGACCACCAGGAAACATTCCAGAGAGCGCCGGAGCTCAACTTGGCCTCACGCGGAGGGGAAGTTTGGCGTAATTATGGCCGGGCAAGTTGACATGTTGCAGAGGCGTCGGTGAAGTTGCTGAGCCTCAGGTTAATTGCTGAAAAGGGCGGATTGATGTTAGGGGTCAGGTGAGAATTGTATAGTTCTGGGGTTATTGTCAGAAGGTCTGACTTAAAGTTGTGTAGTTCTGTTGTTAGTGTCTCAAGGTCTCACTTAAAGTTGTGTAGTTCTGTTGTTAGTGTCTGAAGGTATAATCTGAGGTTGTATAGTTCAGTTGTTAGTGTCTGAAGGTATAATCTGAGGTTGTATAGTTCAGTTGTTAGTGTCTGAAGGTATAATCTGAGGTTGTATAGTTCAGTTGTTAGTGTCTGAAGGTATAATCTGAGGTTGTTAGTGTCTGAAGGTATAATCTGAGGTTGTATAATTCAGTTGTTAGTGTCTGAAGGTATATTTTAAGGATGTGCAAATTTATTGTTTATTTATTGTTTAATGTATTTATCTATGACTGTGATTCATTAGTTTGTTTGACTGACTTGTAACTGACGCTACTTACGTCGATGTGGTTCCCTAGTGTTGAGAGATTGTGACCCCCCCCCCCCCTAGTGTTCTTAACGTGTTTAAAACGCGAGACAAAACAGTTTGTCTGTTTTACAATAAAAACATCGGCTTGATTTGACTTCAAAAGGCATTTTCAAACATTTTCACAGTCAGACTATACAATGTTCTATACAATGTGTTCTATGTTCTATGCAATGTTCTATACTTAGTGTTCCGACAGACTATAACATACCTCGAAGCTAAAACGTAACAAAAAACATTTGTGTGAACAATTCCGGCCTCGTTGAACAATGATTAATAAATCATTTGTGCATGATAAAAAAGGATTGACAAACGGGAGTTATCTTTGGACAAATAATCCCTAATCATTGACTGGGACAAATTACACGCTGGTTTCATAATGTTGACTATGTTAATGGATTTCTTCTGAAAGCCGCTAAGCTAATTTTATTTGTCATCAGCTCGCGTGTTTAATTTCATTTGAGTGATTTCAATATAATTCCTCTAAGGGTTAACAAAACGATTATGTTCCTGATATTCAGGTTATTTCTGTGTATCAACAAAACTAATATTTCATTGTTTTGTTAGTTTTCCTCATTCTTTCTCAGCATCCTCCCACACATCTTAAGTGGGAGGTCACTGCTGGCATCAGCATCCTCTCTAAGGACACATCTTAATCGGGATAAAATCACTATCTTATCTTGAGGTTATCTTGAGATGATTTCAGGGCTTTTTAGTGTCCCCGCGGCCCGGTCCTCGACCAGGCCTCCACCCCCAGGAAGCAGCCCGTGACAGCTGACTAACACCAAGGTACCTATTTTACTGCTAGGTAACAGGGGCATAGGGTGAAAGAAATTCTGCCCATTGTTTCTCGCCGGCGCCTGGGATCGAACCCAGGACCAAAGGATCATAAGACCAGCGTGCTGTCCGCTCGGCCGACCGGCTCCCTTGAAAGAGACTATTGAAAGAGTCAGGATGCAACAGAGAAATTCGTCTCCTAGACAATATTTGGACTAATGATTTCTTAACGTTTGTCTAATTTGATTGGCAGTTACCAAAGGCGGCTTGGAAAATGTTATATCAATATATAAAAGTTAAAGTTACATCCTCACGTTCAAATGTACTACAGTAATTTTGTACATGATTGTCTGACAAGAGAAAGAACTGAGACATACTTTGAAAAATATAGCCTCTAGTTCTCCCCCTGGATGATATCCAGTTCTCCTCCCAGATGATATCCAGTTCTCCTCCTGGATGATATCCAATTCTCCTCCTGGATGATATCCAGTTCTCCTCCTGGATGATATCCAGTTCTCCTGGATGATATCCAGTTCTCCTCCTGGATGATATCCAGTTCTTCTCCTGGATTATATCCAGTTCCTCAGTTCTCCTTTTCACAATACCATCACAGACCTGAAATTCCAAACAAAGGTCCCTGAAATACGTGAGAAATAAGCGTGGAAATACGGGTATTAAAAATCAGTGCTTTTTCAGAATACTGGTTCACTGTGGAACTTTGGGAATGCTGAGCTTTTACGGGTACCGGAACACTGTGGCATGACTAGAAGCATAAACAAGGTTAGAAGGAAATATAAACCCATTCTGGAATGAGTGACAGGTAGAAAGGTATATATATCTGTATATGAACAAATCCTCAAGGGCAGTGACGAGGATTCGAACTTACGTCCGAGAGCTACGTCGTATATATATGTATATGTGTTTTTGTTATTTCTGATGGTCATAATTTGACAGTTGTGCACTTGGTCAGTTGAGCCATGGTTGCAATGTCTTGTTGAACAGGTTACTAATAAACCTTCTGAATCCGAATTTATATCTTATATAAATAGTTGTTATTTTCTTATACTTGATTTGTATTATCTATTGTTTTCCTTTCTACTCCTATATTTTGTCCTCTTTTTGCCTGCTTCCCCTCTGCTTTTCCCCTCTGCTTCACCCTATCACTCACCCCCTTCTCCTTTCGCTAGTTACCAGAGGCATCAAACAACTTTGTTTTCGTGGTGTTTCAGTGACCAAGCTGGTGGGAAGCGGCCCCGTCGAGTTCGACAAGCCGGTGTACCTGGTGGAGGTGAAGGAGAACTCCAGCCCCCAGCCCCTGGCTCACCTCACTGCCAGAGTTCAAGCCCAAGGTAAGTACTGTCTCTCTGAATAAATCTACAAGGGCCGTGACGAGGCTGCGAAACTACGTCCAATTCGAACCTACGTCTTGATGCATCACGCTGTTGTAATTTCTGTGTGTACTGTCTCTCTCTTCCTCCTCCAACTTACTGTCACCTTGGGCCGGAGACCGGGCCGCGGGGACGTTGATCCCTGGAACCTCCACATGGTAGCCTCAAGGATGTAGCCACATCTTACATTTCTGTTATTACAAGATTGCCTCCGATAAAGTAGGAATTCTGCTCAGATTCGGAAAATATTAAAATTTTCAGTCATCCGTATCTTAATCAGCACTTTCAGAACTAAGTAGCCGAATAAGCTCCTTAGTGGAAAGGTATTGGACTCATTAATTCAACCAACCTCACTGCTTGAATCATTAGCCTCTCACACAAATTGCAGATCTTTCTTTACTTCTGCAACTGTTCACTCGATAGCTTGTGCTCTCGCAAGTAGTGAGTAATCTTGAGGTTATCTTGAGATGATTTCGGGGCTTACTGTTCCCCCCCGGCCCGGTCCTCGACCAGATCTCCTTTTTGTTACACATCCCCAGGAAGCAGCCCGTAGCAACTGTCTAACTCACAGGTATCTATTTACTGCTAGGGGAACAGGCGCATCAGGGTGAAAGAAACTGTGCGCAATTGTTTCCGCCTCCGCCGGGGAGCGAACCCGGAACCTTAGGACTATGAATCCCGAGCACTGTCCACTCAGCCGTCGTGTATCATCTCGTCATGAATGGTCACGCATCGTAGCTTGCGAGTTGTGAATGTTGTCTTGGTGAATGACTACGCAGCGTAACTAGTAGGTTGTTTACCTTCTCGTTATTAATGACCACTTACTACTCGCAAATCCCAATCAGCTGACAAGGTCAGTGTGTGTTGCTAATCCTAATGGTCTGTAGTATTGAGTGGGACAACATTTGTTGACCAGACCACACACTAGAAGGTGAAGGGACGAGGACGTTTGACCCCTCACTAGAAGGTGAAGGGACGACGACGTTTGCCCACTCACTAGAAGGTGAAGGGACGACGACGTTTGACCACACACTAGAAGGTGAAGGGACGACGACGTTTGACCACACACTAGAAGGTGAAGGGACGACGACGTTTGACCACACACTAGAAGATGAAGGGACGACGACGTTTGACCACTCACTAGAAGGTGAAGGGACGACGACGATTTGGTCCGTCCTGGACCATTCTCAAGTCGATTGTCTTGGCCACAATCGACTTGAGAATGGTCCAGGACGGACCGAAACGTCGTCGTCCCTTCACCTTCTAGTGTGTGATCTGGTCAACATTCTTCAACCCCGTTATTGTGACTCATCGCCTGCATATGGGACAACATTTCCTTGGCCTACGAAAATAATTGTTTCGTTTAAGTCCATCTCTGATGGCTGTGTCAGAAGGTAGGTATGTTCTTCCTTTCTATATCCTTTGCATATACCGTTTCTGGCGTTGACTCAGAGACGGTTTCTGACTCCCATTCCTGGCGTTGTTTCAGACGTTCTTCCTTAGATGGCTTCTGGCATTGTTCCAGGAACTGTTCCTGACACAAGGTAGGCATTATTCCTCATACTAAGCCCCCGAAAGGAAACAAGGAAGCAAGGAAACAACTAGTTTGTGTAGAGAGCATAGATGCCCCCGGGGCTTCTGGCATCGTGCCATGCTGAGGTCCTGATGCCACACTACAACGGCCCTGTTTCCTGAGCTGGGAGAGTGTCAGGAAACAGGGCCGGGTAGTGGTGATGGTTTGGGAGGTGTGTCAGGTATATATATTTTTGTTATGTGACATGGGTATTAAGGAGTTTAAGTGTGTGATATACTGGTTACTCGATATAATACTAAGAAAGAACGGAAAGTTGATGGATATTTCTGTGTGGTTGAATGACTTGTGTTGGTTGGTGGTTGGGGTTGTGATGGAGCTTTTATCTCACACACACGCTAGCTCTTCCTCTTCCTCCTTCCCTCCCTTCTCTTCCTCTTCCATCCCTCTCCCTCTCTTCCGTCTTTCCTTCTTACACTTACTCTGCTCTCTCTCTCTCTCTCTCTCTCTCTCTCTCTCTCTCTCTCTCCGTCCCCTTTCTTTCACCCCATTAAAACCTAACTTAGAGAAACACTTCGTTACAGGACAAACACTGTACGTCAGAGGCACCGAACGAGTGTTTTATCAGTTTTAAAGAAGTGAGAGGAAGCCATTAACGATATCTTTATTGGGAGAAGGAACTCAGGTAAGGAAAAGTTAGTGGAGAGGATGACTGTGGGAGGCATGGGTGAGGAACACTGTGGGAGGCATGGCGTGGGTGAGGAACACTGTGGGAGGCATGGCGTGGGTGAGGAACACTGTGGGAGGCATGGCGTGGGTGAGGAACACTGTGGGAGGCATGGCATGGGTGAGGAACACTGTGGGAGGCATGGCGTGGGTGAGGAACACTGTGGGAGGCATGGCGTGGGTGAGGAACACTGTGGGAGGCATGGCGTGGGTGAGGAACACTGTGGGAGGCATGGCGTGGGTGGGGGAACACTGTGGGAGGCATGGCGTGGGTGAGGAACACTGTGGGAGGCATGGCGTGGGTGTGGAACACTGTGGGAGGCATGGGTGAGGTATTCGCTGAGAGAATAAGAACGCAAAAATTGAGTATGTATGATAGCATAGACATGTAGGTAAATATAAAGGTAGGGAAGGAGGGAGGGAGGGAGGAAGAGACGTAGCAAGGGAGGGACAAACTTAACACACTGCCTTAGAATTAAGGTAAAGGAAGAATTCAATATTATGTGTAAGTATATTAAAAAAAACTAGTTTGTAACCTCCATCTTTTCTTAAAGTACTTTATACAATATCCGAAGTATACAATACAGCGAACAGTGTATACAGCCCCTTGAGAAAAGATAGTGCATGCCAAAATAATTTGTGTATTAAAAGTGTATTAAAAAAAAGGTTTTTAATACAATTACACACATATATATTGGATCCTTCTCTCACCTTCAAGGGAAGGATATCACAGAACGGAGTGTTTTGACTTCATGAAATATTTTCTTGATATGTGAGAACAGGATAGAAAAGCAGAACGTCAAGGATAGGATAGGATAGGATAGGAAGATAGGATAGAAAAGGAGAAGGCTCTCATCCAACTCTCCTACAGACCCAACAAAACATCAATAGAGAATGAAACTCAATACAAGCTATAAAATGTGCATAGGATTTTTATATGACAAGATAAATATAGAGCAGTCCTGTTATCTTGAGATGATTTCGGGGTTTTAGTGTCCCCGCGGCCCGGTCCTCGACCAGGCCTCCACCCCCAGGAAGCAGCCCGTGACAGCTGACTAACACCCAGGTACCTATTTTACTGCTAGGTAACAGGGGCATAGAGTGAAAGAAACTCTGCCCATTGTTTCTCGCCGGCGCCTGGGATCGAACCCAGGACCATAGGATCACAAGTCCAGCGTGCTGTCCGCTCGGCCGACCGGCTCCATCCTGTAGTCCTGTCCTGTATTAAATAATCCTGTACAAGGTCAATCGAAAGCACATGTACTGAGCAGTCCTGTACAAGATGAACGAAAATAACATCATGTCAGATGACTGGGTGGTCTTCTGACATGACTAGTATCACTGGCTAGTATCATACTAGCCAGTGAAGCCACGAGCTGATCACTGGCAGTAGACGAGACACATTAAACTAGCAGACCTATAATCCTGTTTACACCGGGAGGGCCAAACTTCTTAAGTTCCAGCTCCAGCTACAACTTTTAAAAGGTTTTCTTCATCGATATCGTGGTTGTGGCCAGAGTGGTTGGTTGCTTTCTGGCTCCTTGGTTTGGTATTGTTTATATATATATATATATATATATATATATATATATATATATATATATATATATATATATATATATATAACCATATATATATATAACCATATATATATATAACTATATATATATTCAGTGAGAAACCACAAGGTCTCCTCTGAATACTTTTTATTTTCTTCTCCGAGGCTATGGGTCCCCACATTGGCACCAGAGGTGGTACCCTCACAAACTTTATATATATATATATATATATATATATATATATATATATATATATATATATATATATATATATATATATATATATATATATATATATATATATATATAAACAGTGAACGACCACACAGTCAAGATAGTATTTGAGCACCTCCTCCTCCTCCTCTTTCTACTTTTCCTCTTCCTCCTTCTCTTCTCTTTCTCTTCCTCCTCCTTTCTCTTCCAGCGTTCCGAGCAAGTGATCACAAACAACCCGTCTAGTACACGAATTTGTGGTGGAGGTTGTTTGCTATGTATGTATGTATGTATGTATGTATGTATGTATGTATGTATGTATGTATGTATGTATGTATGTATACAGGGGAATACACATATTCACACTCTTCGTTACCGTCATATTTCATCTCGTTCGCTCTACAGTGCAGCCTGTTTCGTTCCGCTTTTTTTTTGGGTATCTGGTCGTTAATCGCTCGTTCACTGTGTACGTAACCAATTAAACGATGCACTTTTATTACGAAATGTGAATGTGTCTCTTTTTAAAGGGCGATGAAACAATGACGAACTGCATTCATAAGGTTGTGATTGTGTGCTTCGTGGTCTAGCAATTAAGACTTGTTATAATTGGTGTTCCACAAATTGGATCTTGTTATAATTGATGTTGCATTAATTTATAGATATAATTGGTGTTTCAGCAGTTAGTGTCTTGTTCAAATTGGTGTTACAGCAATTACTGTCTTGTTCAAATTGGAGTTACAGCAATTACTGTCTTGTTCAAATTGGAGTTACAATATTTACTGTCTTGTTCAAATTGGTGTTCCAGCAATTAATGTCTTGTTCAAATTGGTGTTCCAGCTATTACTGTCTTGTTCAAATTGGAGTTACAATAATTACTGTCTTGTTCAAATTGGTGTTCCAGCAATTACTGTCTTGTTCAAATTGGTGTTCCA